CGTAGCGTAATATGCTGAACGGGGCGTGGCTGTTTGTCGCCGGCAAACGTTTTCCGATCTGCTGTCTGATTTAGCTCCTGCAGGGCTGCCAACTCCTGAGTTATAGCGCATGCAAATCGCCGTTGCAGCCATATCTGAGCGCCAACAAGTCTGTCTCTAATTTGAAGAGTGAGTGCAGCTCCAGAGATAACTCGAGCCGGCAAAAGTTACACGCGCGTAGTGCCATTTCAGAAGTGGTGCCTTGCTCCCCTGACAAATGAAGCTAAACGCGAGTGTTTACGGTGACTGATTGCAGCAACTCTGCACTTTCGGCAGTCTAACAACAAACAGAACTTCCTCGCGTGCGGAAGAAGAGCCGCTTTTAATGCAATTCTCGGAACGATCTGGGCTGTGATCACTTCTGGGTTCAGATAAACACCGCCTTTCAGGCGATACTTGATTTACGCAGTCGCGGGCGTCGGGGTGGGGGTGTGAGAGTGGGGGAGAGAGATAGAAAGATGGTGGTAGAGAGAGAGAAAGGAGGACTGAGGAAAAGGGTAGGATGAAGGGTGGGAGAAAGAAAGGCATGGAGCGTTGTCGGCCTCCATGGTAAAATTATTGCTTTTCGCGGGGCCGGGGGGAAGGGGGGCAACATCGGCAACCGCACCCAGACCAGATAACCAGGCCCGGGGTTTACAGGCGCAACTTGTCGCCTCCTGTCTTCGAGTAGTACAACGCCCACGTTGCGGGTCCTTCTGAACAGGCACTCTCTGATTACTGTGCAAACAAACTCCGTCTCCGTACTCCGGGAAGGCGACAACGACATCCTTTGATTCCACACACCCTAGCTGGCTGTGACGCCTCCCAACGCGATGACGAGGGTCGAGGTTCACGAGGCGGCATGTCGCCTAGACCACCCATTACGAGGAGACGTATCAGGGAAAGATAACTCTACTCTTACGCTAATTTAAGGGGAGACCATACTGAAATTCCGATTTTTGAGGGAATTTGATCTTACCAACAATTGAATATATTCTAATGTTGTTCTGCCAAAAAAAAATAACGTTCAGACTTTTTACCGAAATTTTAGAAGCATTTTAAACTATTTTCATGGCTAGTTTAAGTAAAACTATGGGTGTTTATCTAAAGTCCCTTGCGACAAACTTTTGGATCTAGAATTCTGCCTAGGTGCTTTTTTGATCCTAACCTCTATGGAACAAAAGTTACTTTGAATGAAAGTTGACTGTGCCTTTAAAGGCTGTTAAAAACAGGTACTTCAAATTTCTTAACGAAATCGCCATATTTTCAGTAGGGTCTCCCCTTAAACAATTATTAACGCGCTCTTTTATAAAAAGTAATCTTGTGTTGCCATTTCACATTCCACTATTTTGACAAAAATTTAGAATGTGTCGGAAGGAAAGTGTACGATTAAATTAGTCACTACGTCCCATGTTATTCATGAAAATGTTACTCTCAATGCTGAGTCACTGCTACTGACATTTTTGATGGCAGATATTCAGGTTTCGGCTCTTTGTTTTCTCATTTGGTGCTGCAACCTCGGCTGTAACTTAAGTTACAGACAGTTACAAACAGAGAATTCTCTGTCATAACATGAAAAACTTTTCATAAATTTCGAATCTTGTCCTTGATCAGTTGCTAATTATTGTTGGATTGTTGTGTGGGTATTCCGTTTGCGACACAATGATATATGCTTATTCGACTTACTTTTGTTTTTGGAACACTATCGGGGCCCGAGCCTAGCGTGTGCAGTGTTAGTTCAGAGGAAACTTACCGATTCCGACTTCTACAAGGAGCCAGCTGGCGCACTGGGTGGTGTTTGTGATTTGCCAAGCCGAAGGGCTACTGTTTACGCGACGCGTGCACCCGGCTGAGTTGAATCCTGAGAACAGCAATCGGGAGGCTCAGACGCCAAACGCTTCCAGTGAGGGGAGACGTCGCGCGACAAGTAATGACGACGCAAGATTATTCTTTAAAATTTGTTTACCTGATCATGTCCTTCCTCGAAGGCACCTGGCAGGCAGCAGGTCGTGCCACAGGGGTCGGACAGCAAAGTAAAGTACGTCCTGGAATGCCTTGAAAACACCGAACCCCTCTTCCTCTGGAATGCAACTTGCCCCTGTCGCCCCCCCCCCTCCCCCCACTTTCTGACTGACTGCTAGTCTGAGAAGCCATCCGAACTACCCCGCACGCGTGCTATTGGGAATCAATTTTGGGGCATCTATAGGGCGCAGTGGGCTACAGAACATGTTCTCGCCGTCGCCAAAATCAGATCAAGGCAAATCACCGGGCGTATTATTAAAGATCAGGGCTTCCTTTGATACTATGTCTCATTGTCATGCAAATCCCGGAGTATTCTCTTTTTTACCCCTGGTAGGGCGCCAGAGCCACACATACGCTCTCTTTTCTTTCATTCTCTCACAGGCACGCGTGCCTTTCCCTTTAAAAGGCAACACCATTATCAGTCTGCGATTGGCACTTCACGCACAATGCGAGGTGCTGCGGCGTGCCGTCCTAGGGTGGGCCGGTAGGGGTGCGGGCCCGGGGTGCCCGGACAGGCATGTTCATGAACAGGGGCAGAGTTCCCGCGCAGACAATATCCCGAGGAGGTGAAACCGAATATGAATAAACGAAGACTCAAATCCTCTGTGATATTGGCCGCGCCGGCTCCCTCATGCTCTGCCACAATATTTGCGCATCCTCGGGCTCACGCTCAATTGGACGGAGTAAAGCCGCATTAGGTATGAGGCTCGCCCCCGGCACCCATACCGGAGGGAGAAAGGGGATTTTTCTTGAGAAAAATACAACCCACCTTAGTAAGAAAGGGAAATAAGCAACCCTTAACCATCCGGTGCTGTTGCAAATACGAATATTTTTAGTGTGCGTTATTTTATCAATACTATCAAATTTATTATCAGATTGTACCAGATAATATAGAGGTACCCGAGGATAGGTGCAGGCTGCTCTCTCTGACACAGTGTTTAGGTTTTTGGCATTCCCTTATGGAAGGATTTGAGGCGTGGGTGATCCATCATTCATGCATGCATGTAGTAGGAATATAAGAGAGTTGGGGCTAACATGGGACAACCCCTTCCCCCCTCACACATACACACACACACACACACACGCACACACACACACACACACACACACACACACACACAAACACGCGCGCCCGCGTCCCCAGCACCCTACAACAGGCTTCCCAATTTTATGCAGATACACACGCGCACGGTATCAGTGAGTTCTTTACAAGGAAATAAATATCCGATTGGCGCTGTGGTCTTTGTGCTGAGCCCTGCGATGCCCTGTGGAGCTCGTGGGACCTGAGGCATGCTGCCGTGACTTACTTTTTCTCCGCCCTGTGTGGATCCTTTCTGACAAAGTATATTGCAACTGCACAAAAAAATGCTGTCAGATTCTCGGTAAACATTTTCTGCTATGTACTAGAAGGCGATTTTTAAACATTACAGTTACATAAAATTTGGGGCGAAAGTGTTTAAGCTCAAATAAGTAAGGGAAGGGGTCATGATCGTCTTCGTTGCACACCACAAATATCTGTAGTGGACTCCAAGCACTTGCAGAATTAACTTAGAGCCTTGTATTTCACACGGCAACGGAAAGGGGCTTTTGTTCCCTCGCATGTTTGGGCTCCTCGTACCCCTACCTTCGCCTGCGTCATTTTCACCCACTGTTCAAATCTGTCATACTAGGTACAGAAAAATTTCCATGGAAGATGTCGTACAGTTCCAATTAAAAACTGTAAATTTACGACTTGGAATCGAATGTCGAACAAGAGTTGGAGGTTGTAGTTGTCCCACACATTTTGTAATTGGTAAATTACAAAATGAACTACACGCACGTACGACGCACGAACATATTTTTTATGGTGTAAATTTGTCACCATAACACACAGCAGCACATACACTGGAAATGCAAGTGTGTGAATGTCGCTCACCTGCTAGTGAGCGACATTCCATTCGTACACTTAGGGGGGTAAACGTGTGAATTTTCTAGGAAAAATTCACACGTTTACCCCCTTAAGTGTACGGAAGGTGAGCGACATTCACACACTTGCATTTCCAGTGTAGCACCTTACAAATATGTAAGCTACCACAGGAGATCAGTGTGCGCCTATACGAAGTCAAATTGGCCTCCGTGTAGTTTGCGCATGCGGGCACAGCGCATGACGGGGTAGGCAGAAGCCGCGTGCGGCACACCCTTACCCTTTTCTACCTCCAGGCTGCCTCACCCGCTCCAGCCGACAAAGATTGACGAAATTGAAAAAGCAAGGTGCCTGCTTTATTCGTTGTTACGGTGTGGGAGGGCGGGCGGTTTTGTAAGCCTCTGCCCCCAGGCCTCCTCACAACCGTGTGGAATTGTAAAGGGGAAACCGGGGTGGGAGGGGGTTGTCTTCATCCCTACCGCTCCTCTGCATCCTGAGATTCGTTCTTAACATTTTTCACTCTACGGTTATGAGTACTGCACTTAAGTCTGTCTGTTTTTCCTGTTTTAAGATGCTTTCTTTTACTTTATGTGGAAACTCTGGAAACTCAAGTGTCGAACAGTATGACAGTTTAGTTAAAACTCATGAAGTCCTAGTCAACTGTTGGGTTTACCGTGTATTTGAACCTGACGTCTGTGGGGGCTATCGGGATGAAGCACCTTGACGCATTTCGGACACTTTCTGACGCCCTTTTCCCTCCCGTGTGTACGATCATGGGATTTTCCCATACCCCTTCCCATGTTTCGTCCTCGTATGGATTTGTTTGCTCAGAACGTCAAAATTTGCTTAGATGGATAATAACATCCGAGCACTGCATGGCAGTGTTGTAGTGTTGTACCGGGTACAAAAAAAATTTCATTGAGTGTGTCGTACATTTACAATTGAAAATTGTAAACTTACAAGCACCGCGCGTCGAGAAATCATTGAAAAGCATGAGTGTGATATGT